TACTGCTGAGCTGATATCAGTTGAGCAAGGTGCTTAACATCGCATCGGCGTCTCTTTAAGTGATCCTCCACTATTTTAACCCTTTCATGCACCCTGTAACTTGATAACATGATAAGTTGTCCACTGAAGTAAACGCTGTCCCTGAAAGGGCTAATACATAGTGCAAATGCATGTAGAATGTTTTCATATTTTCACCAAGCCTGTGGGGTTGCCTCTCAGTGGGGGCAACTCCTGAGTAAAAGAGAGTCCAACAACTCTTTGTAGAACTGGTTCCAGAGCTGTGACTGTGAGTCAAGGCAAGCCAGACTATCTCGTCGGAGTCTCTCTACCTCACACACCAGCCCAGACTCCTTTTGTCAGGTGGTGTGTCTCAGCACCCTGAACTAAATGTGTGTGTGTGTGTGTGTGTGTGTGTGTGTGTGTTTGTGTTTGAGAGCCTTGCAGTTTTTGACGTGTTGGAGTCCCTGGTAGCTAAATCCCATCTTCTGAATTACTGCTGCGCTTTCTAAAGCCATTGTGGGATGACAAGTCATTACCAGATTATCTACGCTCTACATCAAGTTTGTAGCTTCCCAGCCTTGAGAATTACCAAAATACTGTTTTGCATACTTTCTTAGTCTACTGTACTCTTTGTCCTCAGATTGTCGTTAGCCGTCGCTTTTTTGAAATCTGATTGTCTCTTGCTTTGCATCATCCCCGACTGGTAACCTGTGAAGCTGCTCTTCTCTGACACCCAGACAACCCGGACTGAGATTTTATTTGGCCGCCAGCTACCATCTAGTTGTGCTGTTTCTGTATTTGACCTCCTGCCGCCTGAACCCTGACACCTTACTTGCCAGAGGAGACATTCCACATCGCTTGAGCAAGTTACTGTTGGCCACGATCAGACTGCCTAGTTCACATTGCACCTGACCCACTTGGCTCCGCCCTCAACTGTTGGGTCTATGGCACAGGTGTCAAACTCCGGTCCTTTAGGGCTGCCGTCCCGCATGTTTTCCATCTCTCCCTGTTGCAACACACCTGATTGAAATGAACAGGATCGATATCAGGCTTCTTGCAGCGCTTGCTGATGAGCTGATCATTGGAATCGGCTGTGTTGCAAATTTATGACAGAAGGCATTTTAGCAGATGTACGACAGCTTGAATCTTCTTATTTTGTCTGATTTCATTTGAGCTGGGCAATTCATAATCTGGTCTTTTTATTCAATGTATGTTTAAAAAACAAAACAAAACATATGCATGAGGAGTATCCCCCCCCCAAAAAATTGGCTTTTGAGAAATAAAACACCTTTTAGTCAAGCACAGCCTTCCTCTCATAATCTTTAATACGTAAAGGATTATGTAAAAATATTTCGGTGACTTTTACCATCCTTTCGGTAAATGTTGTCTGTTGTCTGTTTAAGAGGGAGGAAATTTCATCTGTGCTGTACACATACAGCACATTTGACAATAAAGTTGTACTTGATACTTGACTTGATAAATCCTTTAAAACGGTCAAACAATAGAACTAAAACTGCGAACACACCTATCCAATCAGAATTTATTGTCACGACTCACAAGTTTTACACAAAAATAATCAGACACATTTACACAATTTATACAGGTCTAGAACTCAATGTACATTTAACAGACGAACTAAATACTAATCGTTAAATATGTACTCACATTGCACACAATATTATGAATGCACATTAAACACATGAAGCAATTAACAGTGTGAAAATAACACCAATTGACATAAAAGTCATATTATTTACAAAAAAATGTTGATTTGAGAGCTCAAGCAAAAGACTGATGTGTGTTCCCTCCTCTGTTTATCAGAGACATCATAAAATCCATATTGTAAAAGCTCCTGGGCTACAAAGTATTATTACTAAGTCTTCATACCTCAAAATGATTATAAAGTGAATAAGTCAAGTAGTGAGCGATGAAGAACACAAAATGCGCGACGAAACACTGCAATTGCTTGGATAGTATTGCGGTTTTCCCTTTGAAATTAGGCTGGTGAGATGAGCAGTTATGAAGTGCACTTTATGCCTCAGCTGAGTAGCTGTCTGCCATGACATGCTTTCCTGTCAAATCTGGTTATTTTATACACAAAATCCTTCCATAACCCATTTTTTAAAAAATTATGTATTATTATTATTATTATGTTTGTTTGTTGTTGTTTTTTTTATGGAGTAATGGGCATCACAACACACAGCTGAAATTTACAAAATAAGGTTGATGAGGTGATGAGGATGAGCAGCCTTTCTCCTGCTGCTGTCTGACAAGAGTCAGTGTTGATGTGCTGGGGGGGCTCCGTGAGGCAGATGGAGGTGTACTTCCTCAACGCTCACATCCCTTTTTGTCTCGATCCATAATACACGTCATTGCAAGTACCAGAGGAGACCAACTGATTTTCCGCTTTACATTTTCCTGGACGCAAGACCTGATGCCGAGAGACAAACGTTAAAATCCTGCCGTCACAAAAAGCTCCGATTTTATGATGATCCACTTTGCCATAATTTCATCATTTGCAAAGAGACTGTAAGACGCCATCATTAACATGCCAATTAAATTATTATAAATGTTTTCAAAACAGGAAGAAAACATAAGTAACGGAAAGAATGTTGTTGCACAAGTCTGCACACCCTGTAACTGGGAATCTGGTTGCGTTCAAAGCTGACCAGTCACATTCACACTCGTGTTAAATGGGAGTCAGCACACCCCTGCCACCATTTAAAGTGCCTATGATTAACTCCAAATAAGAGTCAGCTGTTGTAATCGTCCTTTCCTGACATTCTTTTGGCCTTTTTGGAAGAAGCCTGAAGGTTTTTTTTTTTTTTTGCTGACGCCGACCGGTTTTTGGAACTGTTCATAATTACCTCCACCTTGGCAAAGGCTTGTTATTTCCAGCTGAGGAAAAACAGTCCCATGTTCCAGCATCATGCTCCCACCACCAATCTCATTGCAAGTCTGGTGCTGTTTTGGTGATGAGCACTGTGGTCTTTTCATCAAAAGACACCTTTTGGAATTATGGCCAAAAATTGTAACCTTGGTTTCAGCAGATCATATTCCCATTTTCCAATGTTTTTGGGAGATTTCAAGTGTTTTAATGAAAAATTTTATCGCAACCTCCAACTTGCCAGTCTACCCCAGAGCCCAGACACGCAGTACGAGGAACGCGGTAGATTGCTGTCACATGTACCAAAAAGACGGTACTTGCCAGAAATTCCTGCAGCTGCTTCAATCTTGCTGTCTGCATCCCTGACCTTTTTGTTCTTCACTAAATTTGGAGGGATATTCATTATTTGCTAATGTCTAAACTCCACTCGATGATGTCTGTGTTTACTCTGTTCCACTGTTGGAAATTCTTCTGTACTTTTCTCCCGACTGATTAAGCATTTATTTATTTAAGATTTATTAATCCAAGGCGACCGGTTATCAAGACCGGTTTAATTTCAGCCCCATCCCCAGGAGTTTGCATGTTCTCCCCGTGCCTGTGTCGTTTTTCTCCGGTTCCCAAAAACGTGTAGATGAGTTTCAATGTTTGCAAACATTGCCTCCAAGATGCGCGCGCATCTCAATGACGTCACTGTTGTTTGCAAAGACGAGCATTCTTAATCCTCAGTCCAACGTCGTAAAGCTTGTAACCATAACTTTCGTTTTTTTTCTGAAAGGGGTGTTTAGTGGCCGGAATTCTATAAACGACTTGATCTCTGTGTGTGCTCTTTCCATTCTGACAACCCACGGCATGAGACTATTACAACTCACAAGCATGTGTTTTCTGCCTCCAAGATGCGCGCGCAGCCAGACTTAATGTATGCATACGTCACATGAAACTGATCTGTATGGCAGGTTAATGGAATGCTCAAAATTCTCCCTCGGTGTGACTCTGAGTGCGAATGGTTGTGTGCCCTGCGATTGGCTGGCAACCAGTACAGGGTGTACCCACCCGACTGTCCAAAGACAGCTGGGATGGGCTCCAGAACAGCCACGACCCTGAGGATGAAACAGTTTCAGATAATGGATGGATGAATGAAAATCTACTGAAGGAAGTTAAAAACAGATTCTCATTTGCAATGCCAAGCTGGTAACAGAGAGCAGAGTAGAACAAAGCAAAATAAAAGCTCAACATCTTTTGACAATTCATTTAAATCCATCCATTCTCTGAACCACTTATCCTTTGAATTTACTGTCCATTGGTTTAATTTTGAACGTAGCCGCATCCACGGTGAAAGAGAGTGTGCAGGTTATAGGTCACATTGTTGGTGGAAAAAGATTTGAAATGATTGATGATCTTTTTTTATTTTTACAAGTAGCTAGCATTTAACAGGAGTGTGTTGACTTTCTACATCCTCTGCAGGTAGAGCATCCAGCAGGAGTTATCTTGATGATAAAATAAAGTGGTCATCGTCTCTCATTTGAGACTTCAGTCTTTGTGGCTAAGTGCCTGACTTGTTCTCCAATTAATCCGTTTGCCTCCTATTGGAGATCCATAAATAAGGTGAATTTACCTAAATGCAAATCTTATACCTCATTATGCCACACACTCAGTACGTCAAGTCTGTTTTGCATTTGACAAATTGAAAGTGTATACAAAATGCAATTAAAGGATTATTATAAAGCCTAATCCGCAGCAAATTGTAGCTTTGAATCCATTAGCAGATAAAGGTCTCGGATTTTGAGACATCATATTTTCCTTTACATGGTGGTCAGAATTTATTTTCACCCACATCCGTGGAGTAAAATGTGCCATAATAGTTTCGATGCGCTGAAGATCAAACAGCTGAACTCCTCTGGTAATAGCAATGCTTTCCAACTCGTCTCAGCAGACTTTGTGTGCATTCCTCATTGAGACAGTGTCCATTTCGGCGACAGATTGGTGAGACATTGACAGAGGTAGTGTCCATTTGGCAACAGGACCCCTCTTTTCATTGATGAGGTATATTCACAGATGCATACTGCAGATCGTCAGCTCCAAACGCGCGGACTCTTCGTTTTGTATATGTGCTTGATGTGTGCACTCGGACATTCAATGTGCTGCACATCAGTTGTGAGCTGGTGGTCCAGCCACGTTTCCAAATGAGACAACAACATGAGAAATAAATGCAAACCAAACCGGTCCAGTTCCTCTATTGCAAAGGAAGAGAGGTACAGGAGGATTGCGGGGTTACTCGGAGAATGGTGGGAACATGCCAAGGTCAGCAAAGTCCTCAATGTTGTAGTTGGCTGTTCCCTGAGTGGGATCTCCAGCCATGGGTAACATGTCCTACGGACACACAAAAGAGGAGTTAGAGATGAGGGCTAGGGATGGGCATTGTTAAGATCCAATGTGGGACTTTTTCTTACCAGTACTTTTTTTGTTTCAAAATACACCAAAGCAAATTAGTAACGCCAAAATTGCAGCAAGCATTTACAGTCTGCCTTCATCTCAAGACATTTTCAAGATACAACCTTTGGAAAGATGTCCGCTGAAAAAGACTGGCGAACGGCACCAGATATTCGTTTCGAGTGCCTTTCATTTGTTGCATGGCAGTCTAGACGACAGCAAAAGCAGCATACGTGCGTAAGACGGACTTCCTATCCGTCCACTTTATGCATCAGCACTCTCGCGTTGGAGGGATAACTACTTGCTGGAAATCGCTACGGTCATACAAATATGTCCGTCGATGAACATCAAATAAGACTTCTTCATGTGCTGCAGTCGATCTAAATAAGTTTATGTAACGCAACATACAATTTAACAAAAATTGTAAAAGTATTATTCCTGAATATTTATTTCACTTTCAACCACTCGACATGTTCAATGGCATCAGTGCTATACATACACATATAGTTCTTATTTTTTTCTTTGTATTTTTGCCCTCTATGGACAATAAAAGCGGTATTGTGCTATGACCAAAACATAAGTATAAATCTATATAAATAAAACATGAATTGGAATATTTCATATCACACAATTTTTATGCTTTGTCTTTGATTTAAAGATGACAATACGCAAAAATCTACAAAAATTGTAGAAATTGTAACATATGGGGTAACCCATGTGTTACAAACATCGTAGAAATTGCAGCACAAGGGTTACCTTGAGCTGTTATTGAGGCGAGTCATGATTCAGAATATGCATTCTTCTAAATAATGCACTGTATTTTCCACACTAAAAGGCGCACCTAAAAGCCTTCCATTTTCTTAAAAGCTCAGAGCACGCCTTCAAATCCAATGCGCCTTGTGTAAGGTCATTACGGTAATATTTCGACCCCAAAATGGCATGCTGACAACGCAGAGTTCAAACTTAAGGCGATCGGTTACGCAGTTGAACACGGAAATAGAGCAGTGGCAAGAGAGTTCAACGTTAACGAGTCAATGTTAGAACTTGCTGTTGGTTAAGTGAACTGTGTCGCTGCTTTATTAAATAAGTTTGACTGACATCTGATCGTTCTGTTGGTGTTTCCTTGAGCGTAGTTCCATCTAGTGGAGGCATTGTAGATTGCATCTTATAAAGCGGTGCGCCCAATGTATGAAAAAAATTACAAAATAGGCCATTCATTGAATGTGCGCGTCATAATCCAGTGCGCCTTTCAGTGTGGAAAATACGGTATACATGCATGTAGTTCATACTCGAGTTGTTTTGTTTGTCGAATTTCTGAAGATGTATGTGGTTCTTCATGTGTTCATGTGATTATTTGAGTAAAAAAAAAATTTTTTTTTTTTTTTGGTCTTTATCATGTGATCATCACTCGAATATACAACATGTTGTCTTGGAGTAAGATCTGATGACTTCACATTCGACTTGATTGAACAAAGAAATGAAAGGACCTGCTTGATTTATTTTTCCCGCAGTAGCTTCACTCTTTCATTCACCCTGTAACCTGATAACATGGTAAGCTGTCCACTGTAGTAACCGCTATCCTTGAAAGGGCTAATTATGACTTGAAACTTGAAAGTTATGACTTGAGACTTGCTCGTGACTTTCACATACTGTATGTGACTTCGGCCCACCTCTGATGGGTACACAGGTTTATCGTTCTTTTTGCCAACCACTGGAAGAGCTTTTCATTTTTCTCCCTGCTACTACATGCTACTGAAATGTATCGACAAACATATGTAAATAATAACATAATAACAACCAAAAATAATGCTTGTGGAGGCTCTCAGTCGTACAGGAAAGTTCCATCGTAGAAAGGGTTCTGTCAGTCGTCATCTGTACCTGTGGGTAAAAAACAAAAAAAAAAAACAAAAAAAAAAAGGACGTTTCGCTTCTCTCACAGAAGCTTCGTCAGCGGTAGACAACCCTGAAGTCTCCGTGAAGACTCCGGGCAGTTGCTCTGCGCTAAAAGGCTGAGCGTGGCCTGTTTGAGGACTGGGTGGGGATGGTTAGTCACGCCCCTATGGTGAAGAGGCCCATTGGTTTCTAAACTCCCTATCATTGGGTCTTGATTAGGCCTATTGTTTGGGCTAAGGCTGAATAGCTACTTTCAGTTAGCCTGATCAGTATAACAATAACTTGTTGACCAGTAAGGGACATAGACATGCTGATCAGGCTAACTGAAAGTAGCTATTCAGCCTTAGCCCAAACAATAGGCCTAATCAAGACCCAATGATAGGGAGTTTAGAAACCAATGGGCCTCTTCACCATAGGGGCGTGACTAACCATCCCCACCCAGTCCTCAAACAGGCCACGCTCAGCCTTTTAGCGCAGAGCAACTTCCCGGAGTCTTCACGGAGACTTCAGGGTTGTCTACCGCTGACGAAGCTTCTGTGAGAGAAGCGAAACGTCCTTTTTTGTTTTTTGTTTTTTGTTTTTTACCCACAGGTACAGATGACGACTGACAGAACCCTTTCTACGATGAACCAAAAATAATGTTAAATAATAATTCTATGAGAATCCTTCATGTGTTCATTCTTTTTTTTTTTTTTAATTGAACATAAGTCCAAATATAAACCATGACTGAAAACCATGACCACAAAACAAAGATATGTATTTGGTTAACTGTTCCACCGCTAAGTATGTGTTTGCATTTGATTCATTTATATACATAGTGTTGATATAATTTCAGTGCTTAAGAACTGCAGCCCACATGTTTACATTCAAGTAATAAAGACACAGATTTGTTTGATTTATTGTTGGCATTTGACTAAAGACTTACTGACTTATGCTCACATCACAGCTGTTTGGTAGAATTCTTTTGAACGTGTCATGGTAAACACTTAAGACTGAAAGCCAAAGTGTTGGGTAACTTAAAAAAATCTAACTTAAGTAGATGTGTGTTTCACATTAATTTAGTGGTTCATTTGACTTTATTTTAGAGAAAACCCAACCTGTAAGGCCAAAACAAGTATTACTCTGAAAATCTGATATTGTTTATTGTCAAAAAGACAAATTATTGCCTGTCGTTGCTAAAACAACAAACAAAAAAAACCCACAGTGGAAGAGGTCCATTGAAAAAATAATCTCATAGTGAATCGCAATCACAGTATTGAGGGAACCAGAATCGCAATTTAGTTTTTTTCATTATCGTTCAGCCCTTTTCAGGTCAAGGCTCTTATCAGGCATACTTCAGTATACATACAGTATCTGTTTAGCCATGTCATCAGCAAAACCAGAGACGCGCGCGCGTGTGTGTGTGTGTGTGTGTGTGTGTGTGTGTGTGTGTGTGTGTGTGTGTGTGTTTTATCACCTGAAATACTTCAGTCTGGCTGGGGTTAGTATGTGCATGCTGCTCCCCAGCCTGCTGGGAGTGATGCTGGTTCTGCCACTGGGACCACACTTCACTGGGTCGACCCTGGAATTGAGCTCCGCTCTGGCTGCTCTCTCCGGACACATCTGGAATAACACACAGTTTTACAGGCACACCTGCTGTCATATATTGTACTATACAGTGGTGCCTTGAGATGTCAGTTTTAATTTGTTCCTTGACAATGCTCGTAACTCAAAACACTAGAATCCCAAAGCATCTTCCCCCATTGAAACGAATGGAAATGCTATTAATGTGTTCCAGCCATCGCCCCCCCCCCTCCAAAAAAAACTGAAACGCTTTTCATGACGCTTTTTTTTGGGGGGGGGATCAACACCAAAACGTGTGTTATCCCTATTGAGCATACATTCTTCATTTTCTTTCTTTTGTTTTTTTTATGCCGATGAACAGAACGCAGCAACACTGCGCAGGCGGTGTCATATGATCTAGCCCATGGGTGCCCATACTTTTTTGACCAAAGATCTACTTTTCGATCAACCAACCTCCCGGTTTCGACCCGTTAACGCGCACACACGCATATGCACGCACGTACACACGCATGCCATGATGAGCAACAGCCTGACACTGAGGCATGCGAGGCACTTTTGCAGCCTGTTAACTATCGTAGCTCACTCGTACCGTTTTAAAATGCTTCTCTCAGCCCTCCAGATTCCCATTCTTTGCCCGTCTCCTCGGTGAATTGTACAAAACAAACTGAATGAGAATAATGATAACGATAAAAGATTAGCGCAACAACTCTGAGCACAAGCTGCAACTGCAGACTGCCGAGCGCTAACAACTTCTGATGACGCAGTCATACGCCACCATAGGTTAAAGATGACCCACTTTATTTTAGTTTCTTTTTAAAATACTTTTTGTGAAAGTGAGACTGATAAAATTATTAGGGTGGAGTGTGCATTAACACAAAAAATATATTACTAACGTGCACAGAGACACAAATGTTTTTCTGTTTTTTTTTTTTCTTCTACACCCCTCGGATCAATTTGGGACCAGTCCCCTGATCTACTGGTCGATCACGATAGATGTAATGGGCACCCCTGATCTAGCCAATCAGTAGTGCTGGGCAGATCAATACCAAAATATCGATCTTTCAGTCCAGAATGCTAAAATTTAAGGATCAGTCCTCAAGCTAGAGTATTAATATTCACAATTAATTGATTATATTTTCTTTATGTATTTTTGGGTATAGTTTTCTGCAAACAAACTACATTTTCCCACCTGCCTTTTGCATGTACATTAGCCCCACGTCAGCTTCCGCCCACTCTTCCTTATATTACTGTATTGAGAAGCGAGGAGCGGAGGGGAGAGGAGGGGGAGGAAGAGAGGGGACGTGGAGGGATTTCACAGCAGTAGGTTTCTATCACACGAGACATTGAGTTGAGGACCTATAACATGCTTGATGTTTTTCGACTCGCAAGTTAAACAAACAAACAAAAAAAAAACTCCCTGTTTTTGCACCGTGCACTTGTGTCAATCCAGCTGCAGCTGGACCCTTTCTCCTGATGTTGAGCACACACGACAACTGTGTTCGACTACTTGAGCCATGACAAATTAAATCACAATCCTTGCAATTTGTCAAGCGGTCAGATATTAAAGGGATAAATCCGGCCGTGCGTTTCATGAATGATCCTAAAGACCGTCAAAAATACGTTACTACACATTTAATCGATAAGACGCCAGAGTTGTAATGCCCATTCGAAAGATGTTAGGGCAAAAGTAGGCATGATCTGATTTTCTACCCGTCAGCGTGTGATCTTACTAAATGGAGATCAATAAAGCATGATGTATGTTTCATTTATTTATCTGTCTATGCATAATAAGTTGAGTGAGAAGTGCTGTCCGTGTTTACATTTTATGGTCCATGAAACATGAAAATGATATGTTGAAGTGGTAAAGTCACTGATTTGTTTGCATTATTGTTGTAATATGCACTGTGGTTTGTGTGATATCTTACTAAACGTCAATGGTATTTTGGAAGTTTACACCTATAAATGTAGTTGATAAACTGTATTTCATATTAATGGCACGGTGGTTTGCACGTCCGCCTCACAGTCAGGAGGTCGTGAGTTCAAATGCGGCCTGTGTGGAGTTTGCATGCTCTCCTCATACCTGGCTGGGTTTTCTTTGGTTTCCTCCCACATTCCAACAACATTGCATAGGAGGTTAATGGAACACTCGAAATTGTCCGTAGGTGTGACTGTGAGTTGCTGTTTGTCTATGTGTACCCTACGATTGGCTGGCAACCAGTTCAGGGTGTACGCCACCTTGTAACCAAAGACAGCTGGGATAGGCTACACCACGCCCACGGCACTCCTAAGCATAAGCGGCTCGCATCATGGATGAATAGATGGATATTAATACTTCATTTTCCTTTATCTTCGTGTTTTATATGGTATAATAGAGCTAATAATGTTGGGCCTAATAAAGATTAATTTCTTGTTTGTAGAAAAATACATTACAATAGTCTTTGAAATAAAGAATATTAAATTGCAATTTTGAGAAAAAAAAATATCACCATTACATTTTCCAAAATCGTTCAGCCCTATTTCACAGCATTATAAAATGTTGCATAACGAGTTTCAGCCAAGTCAATCCAGTAGTTCCTGTGAAATAGTTACTTGTGAAATAACTCTATAACAAAGTTCCTGTTACCATGGCAACCAATGTTTACATTTTCAAATGTTCTGTATTTTTCAAATTATGTTGTGGATCCATAACATGTCCAAATTTTTGAATAGATTAGCTTTCTCATTTCATTTGAAAATTAAAAAAAATAAATAAAATACAAGCCATACTACTTTTTAGGGGGTCAAAAAAAGATCATTTGGTCTTTTAAATAAACATCTTCAGAAATAAGATCAAAATCACATCAGCATGGCCAATTACATAAATGTGCCAGTTTATGAATTATATATTGAGAAAGAGTGAATACTGTTTTACTCTAATTTCCAGGTATTTTTACACCGGATTTTAAAAAGGCAATGTAACACAAAAGCGTTCCCCAAAAAGGCAATTTTTTTCCCAACCATACAAAAAAATCTTAATTCCTCTCGAATTTATCATCTGATTTTTTTTTCTTCTCAATTCTTCGTGCGCTATAATAAGATTTAAAGAACCATTTCAACCAGATTTAGCATTTTGACGGACTTTCATTTCAGGGAAATTTTGCCACTAAGGCAGACACAATATGATTCAACAGCACCACAAAGTTGCATCTCCTTCTTCTGATCGTTAAATTCTAACATTTTTGGAGACTAACATGAACAGAAAGAACTGCACACATAAGCATGCAAACTACTACTTATAGGAAGACACGCATTCGTGCTTGATTGTAGTGAGAATCAACCGAGGGAAACAAAACAAAACAAAAAAAAAAACCCAAAGAAGAAGCTGTCAGCTTCAGAGACATTCTTTCTCTTTCACCATAATAAACACTGTGTTCTTCTGGTCTACACGTAGCTATAAACAACATGTTGGTGCAGGGTAGAGCGGGGACATATAAAACAACAGATGGAAAGTAATTACCAAATCGCAGATGAGTCCAGAAAGACAAAGATAAAGTGTTTATTACAAATTATTAATGAAACCATGCGGCAGATCATGTAAATGGCATTGCTCTAACCAGCTTCATTAGTCCTACAAACAGTCTATGAGGACAGTAAGGGAGCACAAGTGACACTGCAGAGATAATCCATTTTGCTAATGTTTGTGTCCATTAAAAGGCCATCAAGTAGCTGTTACAAGCTGGACAAGCTTCATTGCGCTCACCATGTGGACAACAAACAGCAGGAGGCGTGAGCAGCTGCTTGACGAGCAGCTCCGAGCAGCAGTGAACGCACACTGAGGTTGTCAGTGTACTCTCATTCCATTTTCAGCCAGACTGATCATGTGGTTTTGAAATTGGCAATATTGGGTGAGTGAAACTATTGGAGGGGTTATAATGCAACTTTGGGCAAACTTGCATTCTGGATTCATTTCACAGCAGCAGGTGGTGTTTGTTGGATCATTTCAACTTTTTCAATGGGACCTAATGGCTGAGTTTTGAAAGTGTTATTTTAAACACAGGCAAGAAGTGGTCAACTTTGACACTCATCAGTTGTCTAAAAGTTAAGTTCATCTTGCCACTGAACAGGCTTTAGCTGTGGCACGTGTAGATGCCCTAGCCACATGAGCTCCCTGAAGGATGCAGTACAGACATTACAAGGTCTGTGTCAAAAAAAACAAAGAAAAAAAAAAAAAAACCAAAAGCTACACTACTTTAAGTTTCATGTTTAAACTTTTCATATGGAAATGCAAATCTGATTGAACAGCAGTGGTTAACGGACATCGGTTTGTATACTCATTGTGTGTACCAATTCTGCTGTAACTGATACTAATAATATTAAATGTCGTTTCTTAAAAAAGTGTACCTTTTTAATTAGACACAGATGGTCGGTTACCGTATTTTCCGGACTATAAGTCACAGTTTTTTTCATAGTTTGGGCAGGGGTGCAACTTATACTCTGGATCAACTTATGTGTGAAATTATTAACACATTATATCATTTCATATGTTATTTTCACATTAAACAGCCAGAAGGCGCTCTGGGCCTGTGATGAGTCTGACGTAAGTGACGTAGAAAGGGAAGCACTGCATCCTCTACCTCCGGAGTTGGTGGAGTTGTTTAAAAGTGTCACAGAGGATGAAGATTTACCGTAATTGGATTTAGTGATTTGGAATGACACCGATGGTTTGGTAAACTTTTTAGCACGTTCTTTATGCTATAGTTATCTGAGTAACTCTCAATATGTTACGTGAACATACCAGGCACTTTCTCAATTCGTTGTTTATGCATCATGTAACATTGGCATATTGTACACTTAGTCAGCCTGTTGTTTTATTTTTGTTTTAAAGTGCCTTTCAAAATGACATGTATGTTCCTGGTGTTGGATTTTATCAAATAAATTTCCCCCCAAAATGCGATTTATACTCCAGTGCGACGTATGTTTTTTTCTTCTTTATTATGCATTTAAAGGCTGGTGCGATCTATACACTGAAGCGATTTATAATCCGCGGTACTTCCCCTACATGAGCCATCAAGTTAATGTGGTAGAGGGGTTTGTGTGTCCCAGTGATGCTAGGAGCTAAATTGCCTGGGACTTATGCCTAGCAGGTTCACCCACGGTAAACAGGGCCTAGGTTCACAGACCCCTATAATGATTTGCATAAATGGAGAGTTTTCTCTTGGTGTCAACAGGGCCCCCCTCTGGAGCCAGACCTGGAAGTGGGGCTCGTTGACGAGCACCTGGTGGCCGAGCGTGTACCCATGGAGCCCAGCGGGGCTCAGCCCAAAAGGACAACATGAGTCCCCCATCTAATGGGTTCACTGCCTATGGTAGAGTCCAAGGGGGTCAGGTGCAGTGTGGGCAGGGTGGAGGCCAAAGGCAGGGATCTTGGTGTTCTGATCCCTGGGTACAGACACTCACCTCTCTGGGAGGAAGGAGTCTGAGTTGATGTGAGACGTCGAGAAGTTGCATAGAGAGATTTGAATAAGGTATGTTTAGGCCACCAGGCCCATGCTAGACGCCAGATGAGGACACATTTAAATTCCTCCACAAATTGACTTGATTCACAATTTGTGCATGTATTAGTGTATTGTGAACTACATAGACCATGATACTTTATGCCGCTGAGCTAATAGGAGCACTTGACAATAAAATGACCGGCCAATCTCTTTGTTCATATCGCCAACTTCCCCACAATATCGTGATAATTATCGTATCGTGAGGTTCATAACTTGATAATCGTATTGTGACATTTGGATATCGTCACATCCCTACTCTGGAATTGCCCACGGTGAGAGGCGCTGAGCCTGCCCCCTGTCTTGGTGCCTGCAAGTGGGGCTTCACCTAAGTGGACAAGAGGGTAGCCTCCTTTCGCCTTCGGGTGGATGGACGGGTCCTGACTGTTGTTTGTGCATATGCACCCAACAGCAGCTCAGTGTGCCCACCCTTTTTGGAGTTCTTGGAAGGATTGCTGTAGAGTGCTCCTTCTGGAGACTCCATTGTTTGACTGGATGACTTCAATGTTCACCTGGACAATGACCGAGACCTTGAGTGGCCAGTAGGAGGAAAGCCTCCAATCACAACCCAAACGGTGTCCTGTTACTGGACTTCTGTGCTCGTCATGGATTGTCCATAACGAACACCGTGTTCAAAAATAAAGGTGTCCATACGTGCACTGTGTAACAGGACACATTAGGCCGCAGCTTAATGATTGACTGTGCGGTTGTGTCATTGGACAAGTGGCTGCATGTCTTGAGCCCCGTTCACACGGCAACGTTTGGTCCGACGCAGCTCCAAAACAAATACAGTCGAGCGTTCACACGTGCACATTTGCTCCGGCGTAGCTCCACTAAAGAGCTTATACCGGACCAAATTTGATCCGCCTCAGGGAGGTGGTTTAAAAATTTGCTCCAGAGCAAATGCTCGTTTGCGACGCTACGCCGAAACAAATGTGCACGTGTGAACGCAGCTGGATTAAATTTGCTCCAGAGCAAATGCTCGCTTGCGGGGGAGTGGCCTTGCTACGCTCGCTACCAGACGCACGGAATCCGACCCCGGTCGACAGTGACGAGGGGGCCAGC